GGCACAAATACCTGGTAAGCTGGCGAACGTGATGCCGCTTTATGTGGGCAAGTAAAGGGGATGACTGAACCAATATGGGAGAATTGTGCCATTTGCTCTCGCCCAGCCAGTAGTCTTGCTGCCACAAGCTTCAGCGCTATTACCCGATCCTTTACGGATCTAGTCTTTTGTTGTCCTATTTACGTTTATGTTTGTGCCGTGTGGCGTCTTTCTTCGCATTGATTTTGCGTGGTGTTGTTCTTCGCTTTGATTCGCCTTGGCGTGCTTAGTCCTTTAGTTCTGGTGATGCTTCAGTTTACTGTTGTTGTATTTTGTTTGTACTGCCTAATGTTCGGTAGGTGCTGCCAAGAAGCGCTTTCCGGGCAATACCCAGCCCACAGTAGTTTTTTCCAGCTTTGGTGTAGTCATGGGGAAGGATTGTTTCCGTGGGACCCAGCTGACATGGGTTATAGGAACGGCTTTGTTAGACTGAACATCGGCCAATGGGGTTAGCCTGTGTTCCAGTGACCGCGTTCTGAGCAAAAAGACTCCTGGAGGGCTTCGGTGTGAGCCTGGTCTTCCCACCGCTTGAAAGGTGATTTGCGCACATGTTCGGACCCGCTACAGCGAGCCGGGTTGGGCTTCGACTTGTCAAGGATCAACCGGCCTGTGCTTGGCGCCAACAAGGTGGTGCCCTTTATCTTTGGGTGGGTTGAATTGCCGCCCGGACCTCCAGTGTGGTAATTCATGCATTCCTGGTTAAGAACTAGGTCCCCCAGTAGTGCCCTTTTACCCTTTCTGAGGGTTCCCTACTAAAATAGACTACAGAAACAAGGTACGTACCCTTATTCTAACCTCTCCGCTGAAGGTCCTAGTAGAGGTGGGTTTCCCCATGATAATGTTTTGTGACTGATTGAGCTGCGCATGGCGGAGCTAGGAAGACGGACTCTGACCAGAAGGACGACGACGTCTCGGACAACGAGTTTGATCACAAGGCTGGGGCTTAAAATTCATCAAACCGACTTTTCTCCCTGCCTGACCTGAGTTCCTGGACTTTATACTTTTACTTTTTGTGCATGCACACTCGAATCTCAAGCGCAGCCTCCAGGATTGCCGATGTTTTAAACCTTACAATCAGTGGCCCGCTTTAGGGCTGGCACCTTGCACTCCCCCCACTGCTGCTAGGTTTCTAACTGAAAATGGTCAACCCCAGAAAGGCCTCCCTTTTCTGGTGACTCCCTTCAAGTGGTTGCATGTTGCGGGGTTCTCTAAAAATTACGGTTGACGGAACTGACAGTTCTTTGGTTCCACTTTCATTGGAACCCTCGACAAATGCGACCACCGAAAAAGGAAGCTTCAGGGTGCCGCGGAGCAGCCGGGCCTACTTGAAACACCCAACAAGTTGTGCTAAGTAGCTGAGGGGCCAAGTTTCTCAATGACTTGATATGCTTTTGGTGGTGCTCTTGTTTGGTCATTCCCAGCCATATCCTTGACTAGAGTTTAGACGGATATACGTCATATCATCCCGTCAAGGGCTTGGCTTCCAGCAAGCGATGCACGAGCCACTTGCTTGTTGATCCATTCTGTCTGTGCTGCACGCTGCATGCTTTTTGTGGAACCTATCTTTCGGGGGTCCAAACCCGCCCCAAAATGTGCGAGCTCCCGGGCCTGAGCAGGCCAGCAACCAGTACGGCCAAGCTCTGAAGACGCAGAAGACCGAGGCATGCGGAGAGTGGGTTGAGCAGTATTTATATGGTGTTTGGGTGGCCATTTCCTGACCACCGAACCCTTTGAAAGCCCCAAACACGACCATGGCGAAATTTTCCCATGTGGTGAAAGTCGTCACTTTTTCCCCAATGGGTGACCTCACTCCGTGCACCGCAGCGAAAAGCCAAAAGGCCAGGCTGCAGCAGGAGCAATCCCACGTCCAATCGCATTGAAATTTGCCCGAGTCTGACTAGGTTCCCCAGTAGTGCCTTTTTTGGTTGGGAGGGTTCCGCTACTAAAATAGACTACAGAAAAGAGGGTACCCTTATTCTAACCTCTCTACTGGAGGACCTAGTTGACTGACTGATTGCAATGTCCTGTCACTTGACAGCGAATGGTCCTTGGTTTGGTCTGCTTGGTCAAAGTCGCCAAGGTGATCACCTGTCGTTTCCGTGTACTTTGGGCTGCGTCTGTGCACCCCAGATGGATGCGGTTTTGCCTCAACATAGGGAACCGGCTCCTACAAATCGTGGGCTTTTGTCAACTTTCGGTCGGCCTGTACATCACACAGCCCTACACATTATGGTTCTTCAACCTTTTGGTTTTCCTTTGAACTCGGCTCTGGACTTTCATCCCCGAGGCGGCACGCTTTTCTAGAGCCCGCAAAATTCAGAGGACGCGTATCCAAGTCCCGAGTGAACCAACCCTAAACAGGGACCCTTTGAAGAAACTACAAAAGTTATATAAGTGTTTTCAACCTTGGGTTTCGCTTTAACCCCCTTCTTTTGTTGGACCCTTTAAGCAAATGGCACTACAAAAGTGAAGCGTTTTCAACCTTGGGTTTCGCTTTAACCCTGTTTTTGGGGGGTTTCAACCTTGGATTTCCCTTCAGCTTTTCTTTTTTTGGGGGGGGGTCAACCTTGGTTTCCCTTCAACCCTCTTTTTTTTTGGGGGGGGGGGCGGACGCACACATGGAGAAATCGCGCCAAGTTCGCCAGGCCCAGTCGGAGTTCGCCAAGTCCCGCACCATCCAGCAGCAGCGGGAGAGCCTTCCGGCCAGGGCCTCAGCATAGCCATTGGAGGTGTCTTTGGACCCGCTGAAGTGGGTTCTCCCCACCCCCTTTGATATGGAATTGGGGGCGGGGGGTGACCCCTGGAGATCTCCAGTTATGGTTTCATTTCCTTTGTAAGGGGAAGACTAGACAACTGGAATTGGGGACCCCCCACGCCCCTCCCCCTTATGGCAGGGGGAATAGATTATTTCATGGGTTTCCTCGCGGTTTTCCTTTGAATTTACACCAAGCATGGGGTACCCTCAAAAAAGAATTGACACACCCATGTAGCTTCGAACAATTGGTTTGTTTTATCGACTGATCCATGGGTGCTATCCATTGGTATGGGGACCGAAAGGGTTTTTGTCGGATACCAGCAGACCCTGGGCTACGCCCGACTAGCTTTCCCGTAGTCCATGGCCTGGAAGACACCAGCGGGGTGCCTTCAAAAGGGGGGGAGGTGGGCTCTTGGTTCCCTCTGTTGCCCAGTGGTGCCGTTTTTCTCTTTTTTGGGTAGGGGTTCCCCTTCAAACTCCACCAACAATAAAAGGGTGCCCTTTTTTCCCATGGCGACTGGGCATCTGAGTTTCCAGTTTGTCAAATCTGTGCAGAGCTATTTGCCCCTTTTGGGAACGCGCTTCCAGTTTTCTAGAAAACGGTTTGCAGGTTCTTAGTTCCGATAGGGGAGTGAGAAAGGAATGACCCCAAAAAAAACCATCCATCCGATTTGTGAGTATATAGGTCAGGCGTTCCTTAATTGGTGATTTGGATTAAAGTCGAATTTGAACCCCTGGTCCTTGTAGGTACATGAACAACCACCAAATCACCAATCCAAAGCTCCAACTGGAGGGAAGGCTGAAAGACGCGTCCAGCTCCGCCAAGGTCTATCAGGTACGCGGCGAGCTCATCGACCTTCTCCGGGAGCACAGCGCCCGGCCGGCGATAGTGTTTGTTGCAGCTCCTATGTGGACGGGTGGATCAACGGTGCCTTTCGGGTTCCCAAAATGATTTCTTCCGGTTTTACTGGGCGCCGTCAAGTGAACGGTTGGAGGGGCTCTCAAAGTTTCTTTGGACGGTGGCTTCCTTTTTGAACCATTTGGAGGGTGAGTTTGAGATATTTTGAGGCTGGCACTGGTTTTATGTCCCTCTCGGGGATGCAAGGGAGCCGCTAGGGCGAGTGACGACCAGTGAAAAAATATGGCTCGTCCATTCTATTTGGTGGCGGCCTTGTCTCTGCAATTTTCACAGCGCTACCCTGTCAGCTTCGATACGGTGGACTCAGTCCGAAGCAAACCTTTTGACCTTGTGATTGCCTTTTTTTCCTTTTTCGTCATCGTCCCAACGGATCAGCTGCTATTTCCAGTATTTCCAGTTTGTTTCTCGTGGCCCCGAAAGATCAAATCTTACTTGGGTGGGTCAACACATGGCAGTGTCAGTGATCGCCTTCACCAGAGGCCTAGCTCTGACTTGGGATGCCCTTGGCCCGGCAACAACAACCTCAGCAAAGGAGTTGATTGGCATCCAACAGAACCCCGTGCTTTTTTTTTGCAGAAATTATGTTTATGTGATAGATGTTCCCTTTGTGGTGTTGAAGTCGGAATCGATTTCTCTACGGGACGTGTTTTATCACATTTTTTTCCAGGGAGTGAAAAAGCAGATGGAGGTAGTGCATCAGGTCTCATGGAGGCCGTTTTCAAGTGGAATCCGCGGAGGGGACGTGGGGGTCCCAATCTTTGCCTTTTTGATGGTTGTCTCATTGCTTCCTCCCATTTAAGGTGAATTTACCGTGGTGTTCTGAGGATCGGATGGGTTCTGTTCTTCCCGTTTAAGGCGAGTTTACCTTGGTAGGGGTGAGGAGGGGGGTGCCCATCAACTGATGGCCCACCCAAACATATGTTGCACTTCGAGGGGACATTTTGGGAGCCCCGCTTATCGGTGTCGTTATTCATGGGCAGCTCTTAGCCTCCTGTTTGGGCAAGTGGCGTTGTCCTGGAATTCCACTCAGTAGTTTTCTTTCCCCTTTTCTTCCATTTGCTTTGTAAGTGGTACTTCCCCTTGTTGGTTTTAAAGGGAATCTATCACTACCGGAAGTATTTTATCCGTTTTGTCGGGTTGTTAAGCAAGTGGAAGCTTTGGTAGGGAAGACTCGAAAAGGAATTGAGGACCCCCCCTCTTCCTTGAAGGTAGGAGGGATTTGCATGCCTTCAAGCCTTGACGCTCGCAGCACGGGGCCCCACTCAAGGAAGCAGTTGAACATCCGCCATGGCATTCCGCCTGACCTACCGCCGGCAGTGCCGGTATAACACCAAGCGCAACAAGCAGCGGGTGGTGAAAACCCCGGGTGGCCGCGCGGTCTTCCAGGCGACACTTCAGAAGGGGGATTGGAGCAGGGCTCATTTTTCGGGCTGTGTGCTAGCGTACGACATGGAGGGAGTATCAATAGGTCCATGGAGTGCTCTCATGGCATACTAGGGAGCACTCCATGGAGTGGACTGAAGGTCTTGAGACCCTTTCATTTGCAACCCCAGAAAGGGATCCCCAATGACCGGACCCCGAATACTTTTTGTGTGGATGCACTGCTTCCCGAGCGTGTCAAAGAGTTTCAAGATTGTTTCAGAATTGAGACGCTTGTGTCTAGAAAACGGTTTGGATGTGGCTGTAGTGGATCCACCCCTGTAGGATATGAAGCGAGTACTAGAAGATTACTAGAAATGAACCAACAAGGTGAAGAACTGGTGAAATCCACAAAAAGCGGATCCAACCCGTTTTCTTTTGCGGGCATGAGTATTTGTCGGCAAACCAAGGTGGGGCTACTTGTTTTGCCAATCCACTTGAGTATTTGAGACAGCACCTGGCCTCCGAAGCTACTGGACACTTGAGTGCGATCTTGGTCACCTGGTCACCTCACCTCTCAGCTGACCATTGGACCTTTGGCTTGGGCGCATTGGACAAATCGGTCAACATCTCCGATAAAGACCAAGTCCTCGCGGCCATGCTGCATTTCCAGCAGGGCAAAATGAGAAATGTGAATTGGAAGGGCTGCCCCTTTCGGATTGCGCAACACAAGCGGTCAGTATGTGATTTCAGGTTGATTGGCTGAGCACAAAGTGGAAAGGGCCCTGAAAAGGGAATGTGAATTATTCCAGTGGAGCCGAAGTTGTTTTATATTCCAGGGGGCCAAATCAATAAAGACCGCTTTCTGATAATCTGGTATTGGGTGTACCCCACCTGTGCAGCTCCGGCGCAAAAAGCAATCGATTCTTCGTCAGGTGTTGACGAAGACGGCCAAGGGCCCCCACTGCGGGGACTGCAAGAAGGCCCTCATCGGGCTTCCCAAGTTGCGGCCTGTGGAGTATGCCAGGCCGGTGGCCAGAGACGAGTTGCCTTGACCGCTTGAAGCTGGTCTTTGAGACCAGAAAGGTACCGAGGCCTTTTGGAAAGAAATGGATTTTCCCTCACACACACGCGAAAGTTTAAGCTCTTTGCTCAGGGGGAAGCACAATCCAGTTAGTTGCATGGTTGTGCTTGGATGGACAAAATGCGCTTCGGATAAGTTGAGATAGATGAAGCCCCATAAATACTGGTTGATAAACCAGCTGCCAACTTGTGCGAAGTGGATTTAGTCCATCCACAATATAGGTCTTTCGGGCTACCTTCAGTCATACCGCTTTAAAGCAAGGGAATGCTGGATCCCATAATGATTTTCGTCTTGTGAAACGTTGGCCATTTGTTTCTGTGATACGCCAGGCATCCTGAAAGGATCCCTATTGAATAGTGAGCTAAAGAGCCCAAGTTCCCCAAGATTTTGGGCTGGAGCATCTTCCATTTGAAAGATGACTTGAACTGCACTTGGGGAACCCTCCGTGAAAGCTCCGCAAAACACACTTGTGAAGCTCCTTGGTTCTCCAAGTCCAGGTACCCTCCCACCAATTGACATTCAACAGGACGTTCCATGCAAAAACGGTGGGAGGGTCAAATTCACCCAAAGGCAACATGGAGCCCAGATTCCGGTAATGTTGACCCAGGATTATAAACCCGTCCCATTATTAGGGGGGTGTTCCCTCCAAAAGTGATGAAGCCCAACTAAAAGGGGCCACCACCCCCCTATTAATTAGCCAGGGGTTTATTAATTCGGGGTTAACATTGTGTTCATTGGTGGGAGGGCCACCCAGCCGCGAGGCTCAAGAAGCGCGAGAAGCACGTGACCCGCGCCTACGGTGGCTCGCGCTGCGCCAAGTGCGTGCGCCTCCGCATCGTGCGGGCCTTCCTCATCGAGGAGCAGCAGCTCGCAGCTGAACACCGGGAAGGGGCGGGGGGTGAGGGGGACACGAGGACTCGAGGGCTCTAGGTGAAAACCTGGGGGTAACTAGGGATGGTCCCATACCTGGTGAAATATAACTAGTACTTTGGCCTTGGAGGCATTCAACCTGTTAACCTGTTCGAAGCCTCCAAAAGTAGCGATCGTTTCAATTGAAACCACCTGGATGGAACACGAATCGTTGGGGTTTGGGGAATGCTGAAGGGGATCCCTGCAAGCCACAAGGGATTGTTGATGGGGGATCATTCCCTTATTCTTGGCTGTCTTAGTGGCGTTGTCTTACACATAGGGCTTACATCCCTCGGTGCACCCCAAATCGGACATCACCGTTTTTTTTCTCGGGAAACACACCTATATCATGGGGGCTGAGGGGGAGGGGAGGGGAGGGGAGGAGAGGGGAGGGGAGGAGAGGGGAGGAGAGGGGAGGGGAGGGGAGGGGAGGGGACGGGAGGGGGGAGCGAGCCCAAGCTTCACTAGGTATGTCTTGTTTGTTCACAGAACTTTTTCCAGGTTGATTTAAATTAAGCGACCGGCACCCAAAGCTTGGGTACCCTCGACAAATTGAGACCTGAGGAAATGCGTGAAGCAGGTCTTGGCCGAGAAGCTTTCGCAGGCCAAGGCGCGGAAGGATACTGTGGATGGACGAAATCCATTTCGCACCACCAAAAATACCTGGGGTGATGCTTCCCCTGTAAGCAATGGTTTGCTATGGTTTCAAAGTGGTGCGAAGTGGATTTCATCCACCAACAGTATTGCTGGAGTTTCACGAAATCAGGTCACCTCTAAATTGGTTGCTGATTTGGCGGTGACCCCCAACCTCCCTAAAGGTCGGGCACTCAGTGCTCAGAGACCCGGAGTCGTTCGTTCGTCCCCCCCCAAAAGGGCGGTCTGGATTAGTCTTCACCGTTGCTGGTTTGACTGAATCACAACTCTTGACTTCGCGGCAGATAGTTCCCTTTGTACTGTTGTTGGCAAGTGTTTAGTTCTTGTTGTTTTTGGTTAATTACAGCTGTTCATTTTCAGTAGCGGACTGCGACAAAGCCTTTTGCTACCATACAAAGGGTTGCAAAGTGGCGGTTTGTAGATTTCAATTCTTGGACCTCGTCGCTTGGGGAACTGAGAAACCGCCCCCATTCGGTCTTTGGCGCAACCCCGAAGGCCCTGTACACCATTAAGCCTACCAAAGGTTGGACCTCTTGCTCAGAGATGAAGAGCAATCCACCTTGAACAGGGGAAGCCATGCCATCTTTTGGCCCATGCGCCACTTTTTGCTCGACTCACTCTCCCAAAGCCGATCTTTGACCCTTTTGATTCCTTTGGTTTGGTCCCTCACTTGGTCAAGTTTCCAAAAGGTTAACCTTATGTTTAAAGGACAGTTGTTTTCGTTCTGTTCGGCACGAAGAATGCCAATATCTTCTTTATGACCCAGGTCCCATGCTTTCCTCACAGCTTGATAGGTTTAGTAAGTAGTTCCCCTCCCAAAAACAAACAGGACGGCTTGCAGTTTTCGAGTTTGTGTTTGGGGGGTAGTAGTTGGTGCAGAATTGCTTGTGGCAAGCTTCAGGCCAGCCAAGCCAAACCATTTGGGTCAGGCATGCGTACCCTGAACTACCTAAGTGTAGCTTGAGCCTATGACTAAGGAGGGGGCATGGTTACAAGATCTTGCCTTGTGTTCCTATCCCACTCGGCATCCGGCACGCGCAGGAGAAGGAGGGCGGCAAGAAGAAAAAGGGCGGGAAATGAGCCAATCGAAAGCAGCCGGCGTCATCAACTCAGTGCTTCTTGTGGGCAGACGGAAAAAGATTGCTGCGACTGCGACGTGGGGTGTCAAGAAAGCTTCAATACACGGAGTTTATTGAACTTGATTTGTTTCAGCTTGTGCGTTGAAGCAGCCAACTACAGGAAATTAGCAACACACACACACAGCTAAATATCGGAGTCTGGGCTGCTGCTATATTTGTGCACCCTGGTGTTTGGTTCATTGATCCCAGATATGTCACATACATACAATTATAGGTTAATCCAAAGCCAAAGTTCTGATCCGAATCTGTTGGCAACTTTTTGCTTACTTGGCGAGCTATCAGCATTAGAGAGTTGTCAAATCATTGGGCCCTTGTTGGAAGGTTTTGAAGGAGACCACCTGGACATCAAACATTTGGAAGTTGGCCTTTGTCCAAAGCACTCCAACTTGTGTGCCTTTTGTGGCAGGTTCAGTGAAGTCTGCCCCGTGTGGCAACATACTTGAGAGGTGCCAAAAGGAGATTACCTCTTAGCTCCGATTTTTTTGGATTCATGATTGAAATTAAATTAGCTACTGGGTTCATGACATATGGACCAGAATAAGCCAGGTTTTTCGGTTGCACGGGAGTTTCCGGGCACTGGCATGGCAGGTAATGGTGTGCGTGGGCGAGACTGGCTCCGGCAAAACTACCCAGCTGACTCAGTGCGCGACTGGAATCCCTCAGGGCTCACTTTCCCATTCTTTCCAGACCAAAGACCCAGGCAAATTGCTGCTTTTTGAACATAAGGGTGGTTGAACAGAAATCTGGAACCAACCCCGAGAAACCATGATTTCTTGCCAAGAAGGATCCCTTGAAAAGGAACCTGTCAGTATCCTATGCTTCTTCCTTTCAGTCAGCCAAAATGGACACATATCCGAACCTTGGGTCTGGCGGATAGTGCGAGCGATGTGAGATATGTTGTTGGTTTCACTTATTCCGTGCGGGCCAACAAAGAGCCCTGGTTTGGGATGACATGCGGGGCAGGGCATTGGGAAGTCTAGAGCTTTGACGCCTTGATCCGACTACCGACTGGCTTTCTAGTCTGACCTTTAACCTTGTAGCCTTCTTGACCCGAAGCACGAGCGTCAGGGAAAATGCGACACCCTTGTCCTGCCGCGCAAACAAGTTGAACTCGCTGTTTGGGGCCAACGAGTTTTGCCAGC